ATGCTGGGAGTTGAAGTCCACCCACCTTAAAGTTGCTGAGGTTGAGGAACCCCATATTTGCTTGTTGCCATTTCAAGACGGGGCTTAAAGGACAAGGTTGCTTTCCTTCCATGTTGGTGTATGTAGAATTGCAGCCTTAAAGACCTTACATGAATATTTTCGATGGGTGAGAGAATAATTTGCATATATTGTAAGAACTTAAAAGTTTCTTTTCTGGAATGATATACGCTTGGGTGATTAGGCACTGGAATCACTTGTTTCTAGGGCTTCCTGTGGGATGTTTTGTGTGGATCACATCATTCCAGAACTGCCCAAGAAGAAGGTTCGAGGGTCTGATGCTCCTGCAAATGTTTGGGATGATTAACACTTTTTTTTAAAGTCTGGAGCACTTGTGGGTGATCTCAAGTCCTCTCCTTGTCCAGAGGAGAATTATCGAAGAGCCGATCTACTCACCAACTCTTCATTCCGCCACGGTTGTCGGTTCTGCTTTTCCCAGAACTGTCTTCAGTCCACCATTTCTTCCCCAGAAGTCTCCCTATTGGCCTTTGGAAGGTGGTGATCTGGCTTTTCCCCAGGCACTGGGGGCAGGATGTTAATGAAGGTCTGGGGTAGTTGTGCACGATCTATGAGTGCTGAGATTCTTCTTGGGGCCTCGAGTTTGTCTTTTCTTCTTTTTTCAAAGTGATTGTGATGATTGCATTATGTTTTTATCCTTGTTCACTGTCCGGGTTTGATGGGTAGAAGGGTGGCCCTCTACATTTCATGAATGAATAAATAAGCAAATGAACGAAGGAACAAATAGTTTAATTGTCACAACATTCAGTACCAGCAGAATCTGTGGTAGAATTCTTTCAGTTCCTACTCACCTCATTCTTTGTTTTCTCTCTCTTCCCCCCTCCAGGATGTCTTAAACAGTTTGCAGAGGTAAGTGGATCCCATCCTTCCCTTCCCCATTTTATTATCAATTGTAGCCCATTTTTTTAAGGTTGGCAAGAGGGGCAGGCAGCATGGCATATGCCCTGGGTGTGTGGAAAGCTCTTGTGGCTTTAGGCATCTTACCAATGATGCTGCCCAACAGAGAAAGGAATGTCAACGTCCTCGAAGTTCACTCTAAGCAAGAAGACCCTTAGTGGCTTATTCTGTGAGGCATCAAACTCCCGTTTCATTGTAGCAGCATAGTTGGGCACAAATAGCAATGTCTATTCAGGATGATGGGCACATGCGGCCCCTAGAAGCCTTGGATGTTGCTCCCAGAGATCTCCAGAATTAATCTACCGTATCTTTACATGGAAGAGGGGATTTGGTTAAATGCATATCCAGAGAATTATTCAGTGACCTGCCTTTAATTCAAATCAAACATGAAAGAAATCAAATCAACATTTGTTTTTGACCTGGCTCCATGGGATACTTAGTTCTGGTCCCATGCTGGTTACAAGTGTCCTAGTCAGAAACTGAATATCGCCCTTGGCTTGGAAAAACCCTTGATCTGGAGAAAGAAAAGGGGTGAGCTGATGTTACTACACCCCAAGTTGCATTGGATAACCATTGGCTGGGCAACAGAGGCAAGAAGCTCTGTTGATGATGGTCATCATTTGAAGTCTCTTCTGCACTTAGGAGGAGAGGAAGGAAACTGCATTTGTTCCCTGATCCTGGAGAATGTGCTGATAAGGAATCTGTCCAAAACATCTCCTCCTCTTCTGCTATACCAGTGGTGCCTTAGGGTTCCATTGCTTCCTTCCAAACTACACGAGGGAATTTTTGATGGGATGGAGAGAGGGCTAACATCATTCCATTTCTCTAGGGAGGAAGGAAATGTTGAGAATCCTCCAGTTTTCCAACCTGCCCTAAAGTGGAAAATTTGGGACTTCTATGATATCAATCACATCCTTGAAGGTATCACGGAACACTTCAAAGGTAAGGCATGAGGATTTTATGCTAAATACTAGAATATCCCACTTGACACATGGCAAGATCTTAGCTTTAGATATCCATGAAATTGCTAAGATGTTCTGAGAAGCAAATTTAGAAATGTGGTCTGCTTATATGTGGCTGAATGTTACCATTTTTTCCTTGACAGCAAACTGATTTCAACATTAAAAAAGTCAATTGTGTGATAAGAGGCACACAAATAAATATATGTAAGACTGATTGAATACTGTGCTTGAGGAATGCTTGTGAAAAACACTATTTTTTTCATCTTTTCTTTTTTGCAAATAATAATAATAAAAATCTCAACTATTTCAACTTTATGTTTTTCCCAAGAAATAGTATGTTTCCATCCTTAGTTTTCATATGTGTCACTAGAATATTAAAAATAGGTAGATGTCATTCTAATCAGTTGTTCAGTAAAAGGTGCTTGCTATAGAGTGGTCTAGCCATGGAGTGAACAAAACATCAGGGCTCATTGATAAGGTTTTAAACTCCTGAGGAACTCTCAGATGCTATGGGACTGAGTCCCCATCCTAGGGCCCATGGGCACCAATATGCCTTCAAACTTTTTCATGGTTCCTATCAAACTCTGTCCCATTATTAGTTTTTTTTTAGATTTCTTTAAATAAAAAATGGATGGATACATGGAAGGGTGGCATGGGGCACTCACCATCTTCTCTATGTCCAAGAATGGCTAAAGATGCAGAGGCATTTGGACAGTGTTTCTCAACCTTGGCAGCTTGAAGATGTGTGGACTTCAATTTTCAGAATTCCCCAGCCAGCCATGCTGGCTGGAGAATTCTGGGAATTGAAGTCCACACATCTTCAAACTGCCAAGGTTGAGAAACACTGCATTTGGATCGACAGACAGTCCCTTACTTATGAACAGGTTACCTTCCAAGAGGCTGTTCGTAAGTCTGTTTCATTCATAAGTCCAACCAAGTAAAAAGTTAAAAAAAAGAGGAGGAGGCAGGGCAGCGTGTGGGCAAAAGGGCCCTATCTTCTGCTACCAGTGTGTTGCCAGGTGAGGCAGGAGAGGAGGTGGTGGTGGAGGAGAGGGGAACAAAGGACAAGCTGGTGGGGCACAGTGCGCTCCATTGCCGGGCGAGGCAGGAGACCTCCGCCCCCTCTCCCTTGTCCTCTGCCACTGCCCCCTCTCCTGCCTCAGGAGAAAAACTATTTGAGGACCACCTGTTCCCAAGGGTAAACTAACCCTTTCTGGGAACTCCAACTCTAGTGCAAACCTCCAGTGCAAACAGAAGGTGGGAGAAGGCGGGAAAGGGCCTTTTCCCACTTCTGGTTCCGACTTCTGGCCCAACTTCCGGTTCATCTTGTTCAAGGGTAACAGCCTGGCCAAAGGAAAAACAAAGGTAAGTTGGTGAGCTAGAAACATCAAGTCCTCTCCTGGGGGGCAACAGAAAATGTCCATTGCTTCTTAGGCTTGATAGCCTTTTAGATATTTAAACACTGCTATCATTTCTCTTCTCAGCTATCTCTTTGGTAGGCTAGACTTAACTCATCTCTTTAATTACTCCGCAGAGGGCTTGGTTTCCAGTCCCTTCGGGGTCTTGGTAACCCTCCTCTGAACTAGCCCCTGGACTCGGTACTCCAAATGGGGCCTAACCCAGGTTGAGTAGAGTGGAAGAATGACTTCCCGTGACTTGCTTTTTTAGGGTTGATTCTGACCCGTATTGTTCAAATGGTGCACTTGAGTCCACAGAATGGTCTGATAGCAAAAATGGATACATTTCCATCCCTGAACTTAAGAAGAGTTTGCTAGATCAGACTAAAGCAGCAACTTGAACCAAGAAAGACTATGACAAACTTCCCTGATCTGGACGCCCATTATATGAACAGAGTTCAATTCTTTGAGTTTTCAACAATGGCCATGTTGGTGGAGGAATTCTGGGAATTGAAGGCCATACATGTGTAGAGTGCCCAGGTTGGGGATCATGAAGAGTTAGGTAATGGATAATACTAGATGTGTAATGGTATGTGGAAAAGATATTGAAAGGCTGGGCGAAGAGGTGCTGCCTAGGGAATGGTCAGATAAGAGAGGGCATAGCCCGCAGCTGCATAATGGGTGGAGAAAAAAGCTCAGAAGGGACCCTCCGTAGCTTCCCAGGCTGTAAAAGAGATGGTGGGAGTTTTGTACTTTCAGACTTGCAAGATTCTGTTAATGTAGCCTTACAGTAAAGTAGAATTAGCTCATCTGGTCATGCTACCTGTCTGGTCTACCTGGGGAGGCTGACACATGCCACATGTCAGTCTCTGCTGCTCTTTCTCCTCTCCAGCATCAAATAAGGTGACAG